CCTCCTCCTCCCCTAGGGGGCTGTGGGCGGGCGCTGCAGGAGTCGCTGTCTGCGCACGTCGCCGCCGGCGGCGACGGCAGGAGCAGGGAAGGGCCGAGAGGAGCTCGGATCAGCCATCTGCTCCATGAGGCTGTTGGCACCAGCTGCATGCCAGCCCTGAGCCGCAGCCAGGGATCAGGGAGGGATCAGAGGTACTGGGGATGGGAGTGGGGTAAGGCTGTGGGAGATGGAGGAGGCAGAGCATCCCCAGAGCTGCTGTGGGTGTGTTGTCCCTTCCTCTCTTTAGCTACAGTTGTCTCTGTTCCCTCATACAGGTGGGGGAGATCCTGAGCTCTGCAGACCCCTCAGCCAAGGCCAGGCTGACCATCAGCTGTCCTGATTTTGGGGAGTGGAAGGATTCAGGTTTGGACCATCACAACCTCCAGGACTTCATCGAGCTGCGCTACAATCCAGACTGTGTCCTGCCCGAGATGGAGGGGCTGGAGGAGTTCATGGAGTACCTCTCAGAGTCCCTGGAGCCCCAGTCCCCCTTTGACCTGCTGGAACCTCCCACCATGGTGGGATTCCTCAAGCTCTCCAAGCCCTGCTGCTATATCTTCCCGGGCGGGAGAGGAGACTCTGCTTTCTTCGCCGTCAACGGCTTCAACGTCTTGGTCAACGGTGGCTCCAACCCCAAGTCATCCTTCTGGAAGCTGGTGAGGCACCTGGACCGCATCGATTCCATCCTGGTGACACATGCAGGCACAGACAGCCTGCCTGGAATCAACAGTCTGCTCCAGAGGAAACTGGCTGAGCTGGAGGAGGATCCATCCCAAAGCTCCCAGGGCAACGGCGACTGGGCCAAGAACCTCATCTCCCCCGAGCTGGGCGTCATCTTCCTCAACGCCTCCGAGAAGCTGAAGGACATTGAGGGCAACTCAAAGGTGCTGAAGAGCTGTGATGAGGCTGCCCTGACCCTGCATTACCTGGAGAAGTTGGGCATCCGTCCCAGCCTCCTGGCACGGGACAGTGGTCCCCGCGCGGAGCCCACCGTGCTCTTCCAGAAGATGGGAGTGGGACGACTGGACATGTATGTGCTCAACCCCGTGAAGGGCACCAAGGAGCTGGAGTTCCTCCTGCAGCAGTGGTCAGGAAATGGTTACCCCAAGGAGCAGGACCTGCCCCTGCAGTGTCTGACCTCTGTGTGTGTCCTGCTCGTTTGGCATCCCGTGAGTCGCTCCGAGAAGATCATCCGGGTGCTCTTCCCGGGATGTACCCCTCAGGCTCGTATCCTGGAGGGGCTGGAGAAGGTGAAGCACCTGGAGTTCCTCAAGCACCCTGTGGTCACCAAGAATGATTTGAAGGCAATGTCAGCATCTGCACCGGAGAAGCTGCTGAAGCAGAGGAGGGCGGAGAGCAAGGAGAGCCTGAAGTCAAGTTCCAAGCTCAGCCTGGTGGAAGCTGCAGCACCAGTGCCCAAGGAGAAGACTCCGAAGGTGGAGAAGAAGGAGGTGAAGGTTGGGACCAAGGAGAAGCCCAAATCCCAGGGGGAGACACCCAGGATGGGGTTGGAAGACGAGAAGGCCAAGGATGCTCGAGCCAAGCAGGACTCTGCGGTGGAGAAGGCAAAGACAGACATGAAGCTGAAGGTGAACAAGGAGAAAGCAGCGCCCAAGAAGGAGCCAATTCCCAGGAAAGAGGAGAAGAAGCCGCTGAAGAAGGATGAGGGGGCTGAGGTGAAGGCAGAGGCCAAGAAGGAGGTGAAGGTGGTGAAGAAGGAGCCGAAGGCTGAGCCACTGCGGAAGGACACGAAGGAGAGCAAGGCAGAGGCCAAGGCTCCTGCCAAGGCTCCAGCACGGAAAGCTCCGGCCCCGGAGAGCCGCAAACCCTTGGCCAAGGCTGGCAGCATCAAGAAGCCTTTGCTCAAGAAGGAGCTGGAAAAGCCCAAATCTAAAACCCCTCGGGATGCAGGTGGCAGGAAGGAACCAGGGACATCAGATGGCTCCAAGTCCTCCTCCCCCGAGGACATGCTGCTGGAGCAGGAGGCAGGGGGCAGCGGGAGGAGGAGGAAGGAGGAATCCACCGACGAAGGCATCGCCACGGCCGAGAGCGAACCGGAACCTTTGCCACTGGAAAACGGTGGGACCAGGAGACCTGGAGACTCCTCCTGCCTGGAGAACGGCCTGGAGGACCCCGAGAGTCCCCAACGCTTCCGCCAGGCGGAGAACAGCCCCCTCAGATCCGTGTGCCCCCCGTCCCCCC